ATTCTAAAGCTAAATTTAAATTTAAAAAATAAATGCGCGTTTCAGATCTAGAATCAAATTTATCTGTCGCATTGCATTTCCATTGCTATTTCTTCGATAGAAGTAAGCAATTTTGATAGCTGTATCAAAATTCGAAAATTTTTTATATTTTTTGGGTTAAAACTCTTGAAAAAAGTTTATTGTTCAACCAAAAGGAACATAATTAATACCTAAAACTGTCATGAATTGTCAACGAACTGTCAACAATGAATGAACTGTGAATGAACTGTCAAAAGCTTAAAACTCACGAAATACGTGCCAGAATGTTTTTTAATACAAAATTGGCATTGTTGATCGATATCTTTAATGAATCAGTTATATTGACGCATTCGAGACTTTCCGCCAAACGAAATCGTACAGAACAATTTATTTCGTAATAAGCAAAATTTAATTTTTTTCAAATATTGTATTGAATTTCGATTCATGCGATACAATATATATTCAAATCTCAATTCAAAAATGCATTTGTTTCACAGAATGATTTACAAGTGGAATTCGTATTGTACATTGTATATCATTGAGGGCGGACATATACTATTAGTACTATCGGTGACACTTTCCGAATTGCTTCAAGTGGGAGGGATTTTGAGTTCACCAATAGTTATATAAGTTGACATTAAGCACTGTAACAGATTCGTCCTCAAATTTTTTTCTTCGTGCAGTGATAAGTATTAATCAAGTTGGAGGAAAGGTTTGTTACTTTGATATATTGCCAGCTATCATCACTTATGCTTTCTATAAATTATTATCGAATTCGATTTTCTATTTCGACTTTCTTTAACCAATCAAACTTGCATCGTGCAATGACACAGTGAGAGGATGGCATACGGTAGGCGAATGAATCAAACTGAAAGGATGGAAATTTTTGTTGCTATATTTTCAGTTACAAATCAATTAATAATTTCTGCGAGAAAGGTTCCTTATCATAAACTACAAGTAGCCAACATTAAGACTGATTTTTGTAAAGAATAGCTTTTATAGAAGCTAACTTGGAAGTCTCCGAGTTATTCCCCAATTACTCTTCTTGTCGAGATGGGAAATTAAGTAATTTTCATTTTTACGACGATATTGTGATAAACTTATTATATTGTCTGGAAAGAAATAAATCCATCGTATTATTTGTTTGTTTTCTTTTGAAGTGATACAGAAGTAGTGGTACGGGATGACCTCTTGTTTATGGTGACAATTCTGTAATAATTACATTAGGATCACCAACGACTAAATTTTTCTGCAATCCATCCCATTCATATTTTATGAATGAATCCAACTTTTCGTACAGATGAAATGTTATATGTTCAACGTTTTCAATAATTTTTCACTGTACATTCAAAATTAGTAATTTCTCAACACAAATATTTTATTGATGTGAGATATGAGAACAGATAGATGGATTGATTAATTGAGAATTTTAACACGAACAATCGTCTCAATTTGCAATATTCAATAGTTTTTTTTTGTTTAAATCATTTTATTTCGAATTACCAAAGTAATAAACTTCAACTGTGACAGCCTGCTTTCATCTTTTGGCTTTCATACATATATTTAATTTCCATATCCTTCAAATAGAAAGAAAGTATATCTTTCAAATTTGGGTGTCACCCGCCATTTCTCAGTCATTTCTTTATTTCGTGAAGCAAATCTTATAATTAATTATCAATGCCAATATTTTTGAAATTGCTTTTATAATTTCATGCGTCATGATTTCCTTGAGAGATAGAATTATTGTTATTTTGTGGAGTTATTTAAGGCAATGAAAATTTAGATGATATTAATATACGTTATGTTTAGCTTGTAAAACTATGCGCGAAACAGAAGATTTTGAAATGAACCAAATGATGAGAATCGTTGAAGCGGAAATGTCACCCATGCTTGTACCATTACCAAAACCGATTGGTTATGAACGTGGATTAGATGCTGCATCAGTTCAAAGGAACCCCACAAACTCTCCAGGTGTGTTTTATTTTACCTGGAATACTTTTATTTACGCCTTTTTTACATGAAACACGTTTATGATTAATTAAATCAAATTTACAGGACCATCTTTTGTGAAATACAATGAAAGATCAACATCATTAACTGAACCGGATTCTTGGACAATATGGTCGGATTACAAAATAGAAAAAGCAGTGATCAAAGCACTTAGTTTTAAAGAAACAGGTATCAGTTTTTCATAATAATAATTTTTCTGGAACTTATGACTCTGTTTATCTATAATTGACTTAATTACAGAACCTTCACCATTTTCTGCGAGTCATGCTGAAAGATCAGTACCATCGGTTACGCCATTAACTGATCCAAATCCTTTGACATCATCTTTGGATGATCAAATGAGAATAGAAGAGGTCACAATATCCAATTATATACAAACTTTAAAATCTATTGATCCAGCAATGAATCTTGAACCAGCAGGTATTAAATACTTGTAATAAATTTTTTTCGAAATTTACTATTCTGCTTTCTATCACTTTACAAATTGAAATAAAGTAATCAATTCCAATCTTACAATTTTTTTAGATCTCGCATCTATGAACGCACCAGTTCTCGAAGGAGATGATAATACGCCGATAACATCAACCTCTCCTGAATCTGATACAATATTAACTAATGCTGATGGGACCGAAACTGTTGTTTTAGCGGCAGAAATTGAATCTGATGCAGGAAGTGAAAACCATGAAGCACGTCAGTTTTCTGAAGTTACTTCTTCCTCACCAATATCTTCAAGCTCGACAGTAACAGAAACAGCGAAGTGCACAATAAATGGGTAAATATCTTTTTTGTATTTCAATACTATTTGTAAATTAGACGTGATTTGTTCGATTATCAGAATAATGACATGATTTTAGGAAAAAATTCGTTTGGAATCGGAATGCGTCGTCGTTTGTACCTCGTAATTTAATCAATAATCGAAATACTAATTTAAACTATAATGGAAAAATTAAATCGCAGAATCGTTTTCCAATAATGAATGGCATTCGAACCAGCGATGCACCATTACCGTTTTTGTCTACATCCGTCGGTGTACCAATACAAATTTGGCGTTTGGGTCAAGTCGATGAAATAACCTTAGCTATGCAGGTAAACATCTTACATTGTTTCAAACTCTTTATATGATTGTAGAAAAACAGGACGGTTCAAATGAATAGTTGTAAAAGATTCTGTCGACTGTTTTGGTACGAGCAGTTTCTGCAGATAGTTATCTCTCTCTTTGTACTTGAATAAATTAAAATTTCAAGAAACAAAACGCTATATTTGATCACTTTTTTAGCTTAATAACAATAAGATAAATTAGCAACAATGGGATGAAATTCTAGAAAAGTTACAATTCCCATTTTCCCTTACGATGTCAACATCAATGACAGCAACTGAACTTCATGCATGATGACATGAATATTATAGTGTTTTAGAGTTTGCCGTCAATTGCGCACGTTGCACCATCACAAACTGTCAATCCATTTGCGCAGAGAAGTGGCGATTGTTCTGCCTCTGCCACACCGATGAGACAAGTAAGTCCTGCGTGTGCTAAAGGGATTCGTAATAATCCTTTCATTGTTACAAGGATTCTCTTTTCAAGCTTTATAGAAAAATTATGACACATTTCATATAAGTTACTTTTCACTATAGTCATACACGTAAAATAATCCAGAGTGCGTCAATAGCAGCTGCAGCAAACTGTAAAATGGACAGATACGACACTTCGATGTCCAGCTATTATAAAACATCGGTTGTACAAGCAACTCTTTCCAGATACCATAATAAATAATTATATTGAAATTCATGGAAATTCACATGAAACATCGATACATTTTTGTTGTACCGCATTTTTCAATGTTGAAAAGACTGTATTTGAGAATTTCCAGATGTCGCGTACTTCAGCTGTTTCGAGTGGCTTCATAATGCAGACAGGCGGTGTTGGGATGTCTGTTTATTATCAACCACTGGTGTGTCATTCAGCTATTTTAGATAAATTTGCTTTAACTATCGAGGTTTATAGCTCTGAACTATTACTTCGCCAATTATATGCCATGTTCTTCATTTTTATTTTAAGTAATTAGCCATTTGATTTTAGGATTTAAGAACTATTGATTTTACCTGGACAAAAAAAAGTTGATGTTTTATTTGTTGTAGCACTACTCGATCGCCAAGTATAATTGGCGAGTCTCGAGGATGATCTATGATCAACAACCAATTGTCTTTCCACCTGTCGCGAGATCAGCAGTACATGCGCTATCTTCGCGAGGTCATCAAACTCATGCACAGGTGAGGTAGACAAAGTTTTTTTGCGATGACTTCATGTTCATAAGAGTTACAATCTGAATCTTCTCTTCATGAACTCTGTTGTTAGATATCAGCATGGTCATGATGCGTGAATGATGCGCACTGTTTTATATCCCTTTGGAGTGATTATTACAATGGATCAACAAATCGGCTATTACACAACAAAAATAAATATCCGCCTCGTCAAGTGATGAATTGTGACAACCAACTTTCTCCCGGCAATTCGAATTATTTTTAATTCTTTTTTTCAATTACAAAAAGCGGCAGCAGTATTACATTATTTAAACTTTTGTAAATAATCAAGTTATTGCAGTTTTCAATTCGTGTTTTCCTCTTATTGTTGTTTAATTTTTAATGCTTATTGATGTGTGATCAATTTTCGTGTATAATTTATTATTGTTTATTGTTTCGTTGGAATATGTTGTACGTGTAAATGGAAGTTCCTGCTCTGACATAGATAAAAGTAGAAAAAAGTTTCAAAATTTCAACATTATTTAATTAAATTATATATGAACTTATTTTTACTATTATCTCTTGATGCTTACATATATTAATTGTATTGATTTTTTTCACGAATTTTCACTTTGTACAAATAAAACGCTGCTGCTTAATCACTCGTAATTTTCATCCTCACACAGTTTGTCGAGGAAAAAATCTTAAATGAAAATATACAAAAAAAGTATTGAAGTACGAGAGAATTTCCATCCCTTTTTTTCCAAATTTTGATTTTTCGGATTGAGAGGTCGAAATCGAAATTGCATGCCATCATTTCAATAAGATAAACCATATGGAACGATTAACGGAAATGGAAACGGAAGGTGAGCTTCTTCTTCCAAATCATTATATACAGCTTAAGCATCTTTTGATATTAAATTTCTCACTGGTCGAATGACTGATAAAACTCCCATCAATAATTAATTAAACAGATGAAATTAATACTTTAAATAGGTAAATAAATACGTAATAATAAATAAATGGTAACGAATACAGATCGAATACTAATACAAAGAGGGTGAATGAATATTCTAATAATTAAGTACTGTAAATATGGATTTCACTCATCAATTCATGTCTCAGTGTATATGCGAGTGTCCTTTGCCAGAGAAATTTTGGTGAATATAGCATTTCACTAAAAATAAAACTGGTTTTTTTAACTGCTTCAAAAAATGGATTAAGGCCAATTTTTATAAGGTGTTTTACTTGTCGCGTAAAAGTCTCTACATTTGTTGAAAGAGTCGCATCATTTCTTCCGGAAATTATCATAAATCTTTAGAACGAATTTCAGTCGAATTTCTTCCAACTCTATTTTCTGTAAGACTTATTGACTTCTCTTATGTGCAGCAAGAACTGTCCTTAAAGAATCATTTCCATGTGTATGTAGCCTGCTTGCAGCTTATTATCAACATAGTTGTCAATAGTTCTATGTTACAAATTTTCCACCCAAATCATGCCTTCTTGTAGGTTAGACTTTTCCTGCTTCTTTTCGATTAGACAAAGGATTTGTTTATTGTGATTTTGGAATATGATGATGGGCAGTGATTCCTAAGGAATCAGGAACTGATTTATTATTCTTTCTACAAAGAAATTGCTCTTATCTTTAGCAAATAACTACTGGTTAGATTCTAGACTAGCAGACCAATTTGGCTATCCTGCAAAACAGGTAGCAAGACTGAAACGGTCTCTTTATTTGTAAGTTTTTTTAATTTGAAGAACATTAATGCCTGAAACAGCTTTTCTCCTTATCCAGAGGAATCGTCAAAACACGAGTGACATGCCAATTTTTCAGCCAGTAGAGAGAGATATAGACTGAAATTAATCCTACTGATTAATTATCGTTTGAGATCCTTTGCTCACTGCGTTTTCATATAGTGATCACATCGGAGAGTTGACAATTACAAGAGCCGATGCCAACAAAGCACTTGAATAGTAGGACTGAGCGTCTTCTAGCTTGAAAAGTATTGACCAACGATGGTGAAAGAAGCCATCCAGGGAATGTTGTCACACCTTGATTTCTTTTGGAATATTGAAGGCCAACGAATATGAGTGATAGCGAAAAACTGATAGTTAGATCCACACAAAAGCGATAAAACATTTCTTTATATTACGCCATTGTGTGTAATATAATATTTATTTGTATTTAATATTATTACAAATTGAAATATATATAATTCAATAGTGCCACATGTTGCAATGAACATATTAAATATATTGATCTCATGATCTTAATCGGAGCATATTTATACTTGGAGCAGGACTTATATTGCAAGCACTGAAAAAATTATGCCAGAATTTGCTTTTAGATTAGGTAGTATTTCCAACGAAATAACCTCGTTACTAACGTATGCCAATGAATACAGTGGAAAGGATATGGGAAGAAAGATGCGAGTCATGGAATGAGTCAACCTCCTAAACCGAAGAGGAGCCCGGGTCTTCCGTGTCTAAGGCCTTCCCAATATAACCAACCCTCTAGGCCCATTACACTCTCAGATAACAATTCCACCACTCAAATAAATCACAGTTCGTGGCTGTTTCGCTGGGTGACTTTGATAGTGTTTATGGAGTTTGAGGTACGTCAGACTGAACGTGTATCTTGCACAATGCGTTCTGGGATCTTACTTTCACGTTTGGGAGATATGTTCAGGAATGTATTTATGTTTTTTGAGTTGTTCTTGTTTTAATTTTATTGTTGGGATTGTTAGTTTTAGTTTTGGATTTAGCGAGGGTTGTAAAACACAAATAAACCATGTCTGATTACGGATCAGCTAGAATTAATTTTTTTGGATTTAGGATAAATTAAAACTTTTCTTTTGGAGTTAGAGGGTTTTTTCAAAAATTTTGTCTATTTTTGAAATTTTTTGACTTATATGAGCTGAATCACCATGGTTGAAAATTATTGCAGGTGCTACAATGCAAGCCAAGAAAGCCAGTTCTGGTTTCCGATCCGATCCCCGTCTCCTACCTCGTATTCGTGACGTAAGTTTAAAATTTTCTAATACTATGTCATTTATTGCGTATTCTGTCATGCGGTCATAAGAAATCTGCTTGATGATGTATGAGAAGATTTTGTAGGTCTGGCAAACGAACATAGAATATGACGCGGAAGATATCACCCATCATCTTCAGCAAATCTACCCGTTGGTTCCTTTTAATCTTGCTTTCTCCAAATCCAAACTATCCATTGCTGCGAATTTTCCTACTGCCATGAATATTTCAATTTGATTTAGAGAATATACCCGACGGAAATTTCGTGATTTCTTGAAATCGGTAGAAATTGGACTTAGAAAGATAAAGAATGCTAACGTGGTGGATGGCGTAATTGATCTGACAAACGAATCCAATAACATATCAGCGGTTGTAGAACAAAAGCGGAAACAAATGTTGGTGCTTTCAACTACCTCATTTTTTCCTTTTTGTGTTATAGAAGCATGAATTAACTCGAATTCTTGCTTTAATATTTCAATTTGTTAAGAGGTGATCAGTAAATTTTATTTACTAAGGATTCTTTATCACCTGCCGGTAGATATTTTACAAAAGAAAAAGAGTGGAGATGAGGGAAGGATCAGTAGCAAATTATTTTGTTTTACATACTTGACTCTTTGATAGGTTTTAGGACGAAAACTATGAAGAAGCTTAGTCCTGCTTACGATAGACTGGAAGCTGATGTAAGAATTTTTAATTTCATTTTATAATGTTAATAATGTTTTTATCACCTTCCTTTTCCTTGACCATTTGAAATTTGTCATATTTCTGGTTTCTGTAGTTAAAGAAGCCTCGAAAATCATATTCAACATCTGGATCGTTGTACAAAACGGATATTAACGTAGAGCCAAGTATATCACACGTTATGTTCTCAGATATCGGTGGTTGCGAGCAACAATTTTTGGTAAGAATTCTTTTCATTACTGCGATGGAATTATAATTGCTTTGATTAATATTGTATGTCACGGTTTACAATTTCTATTTTATTGGAATAGTGAATTTGTTATTAGGAAGTGTGTCGTTTTGTCATGCATCTTCTACATCCGGAAATCGATGATCTGCTTGGAGTTACTCATCCTACTGGCTTTTTGCTCCATGGCCCTCCTGGATGTGGAAAAACATTGTTTGCTCAAGCTGTTGCTGGAGTTAGTATTTCAGAAGCATTTTAAATTTCACTTACTTTTTTTTAAAATCATCATTTGTTTGTTCTTAAACATTGTAGTAGAGGTGTTCTTTTTTCTTAAATTTCCTGTTTTCTAGGAATTCAAACTACCAATTTTGAAAGTGGCAGTAACAGAATTGGTTTCTGGAGTATCTGGTGAAACGGAGCAAAAAATACGGTTATTATTCAACAAAGCAATCGAAGTATCACCGTGCGTTTTACTTTTAGATGATATCGATGCCATTGCTTCAAAACGAGATAATGCACAACGTGAAATGGAGAGGCGTATTGTATCACAGCTTGTTGCTTGTCTCGACGGTAGGCGTAAATAACAGTGTTACGTATTTCGTGAACTCTTTATCTGCAATAATTTTTTTTCAAAGTGGATTATTTTAGATTTATCAAATCCGAAGAAAGATGTTGAGGTGAACGCAGACGGCACAACTGTAGATATTTCAATCAGAAAAGTACGTAAAAGAAATCTGGTACTCGTAATAGGTAACTATTCAATTGCTAAAATCCTGTAGTAATTCTATTGTAGATGGTAAACTATGGAAAATTGATCCCTTACATATACATGTGTTTCAATTGCAGGTACCACTAGCAGAGTAGAAACTATGGATCCAGCTCTACGAAGAGCTGGTCGTTTCGATAAAGAAATAGCGTTGGGAATTCCGGATAAACGCGGTAGATCGAAAATATTGGAAATTGTTTGCAGGTATTCGTCTTTTTTATTTTTCATTGTGTTACGAATCGCGATCGGAATGCGTGAGGCTTGAATTTTGTGCTTTTTCATTTTAGTTTTCTTGAATCTTCAATTCTGTTCTCTCTTCCAGAGGTCTTCGATTGGACGAAGGAGTAGTACTACAGGAACTGGCGCGCCTAACTCCCGGATATGTTGGAGCTGATCTCAAAGCTCTGTCCAGGGAAGCAGCATCATGCGCAGTGAATAGAGCAGTAAATGGGTATATTATTGAACAAGATATTTTTTAGTTCTCAGTTAGGATGCATCTTTCTGGAAAGTGAGAACTATATATATTTTCATGTATTTATCATCCTTTTAAGGATATTCGAAGCAACGGATGAGCGTAAATATGGGGAGAAAAAAATTGAACAAACGGAATTAGAATTACAACAAAGTGTGACTTGTTTTTAATTTCTTGAAAATTTTTGAATTTTAATATTGTAGTAAAAGTCCATACAGCTACAAAACCGGATCTGAATTTTCTTTCAGGATATTATGGTGATAAAAATTAGTATCAGTATTCGATTTTTTGACAAGTATTAGTTAGATATTAAAAATAGAAAGAATTGTTAGTGATATAAACAATAATGGCCGATATACTTGAACACATTTTTCGAGTAAAATTGAATCCTTTTCATTAGATTCTTAAATTTCAACCGTGATCTCCAGCTTTATTGCTAAGTTTGATTTGATTTCAGATTTAATTCAAATTACAAATTATTTCAGTGCTTACTTGGTTGAAGTCATCACAGCAATTGGATGAGACTGATTTGATGAAAATTCATGTAACTATGAAAGATTTCAACAAAGCATTAACGCTTGTGGATCCATCGGCTAAACGTGAAGGATTTGCCACTGTTCCAGATGTTACATGGAATGATGTTGGTGCGCTTGAAGGCGTTCGCGAAGAGCTTAAATGGAGCATACTGGTATGTAAGTATTTGTAATAATTTACTGCTGTAGTATTGGTGCATACTGTATATGGATATTTTAGACAACTATTTATTTTCCATCTTATTAGCATTGTAAGAATTGCTTTTCTCTGGCTTAGGAAAAATTTGATAGCATCAGTGATCAGAATGTCTCAGGATAGCTTTGACGTACTTCCTGATTACTTGAAATATTTGTCTAAATAGTTTGGTAATTAAATTATTAACTAAATTTTACAGGTCCCTATAAAGCAACCTGAACTTTTCGGTAAATTTGGAATAGAAAGCAGGCCTCAAGGAATATTACTATGTGGACCACCAGGCTGTGGTAAAACATTATTGGCAAAAGCTGTTGCCAACGAAAGTGGCATGAATTTCATCAGTATCAAAGGCCCTGAATTGCTAAGCATGGTATCTGCTGAATTTATTTTTGCATCGTAATAGAGGATATTCTAATAATATTGGCTGCAGTTACTCTTTATTAAGTCAGTTGCATAAACGAGTTAGCTTACATTTATCTTTGAATCTTTATACAGTATGTTGGAGAAAGTGAAAGAGCAGTGCGTACCGTTTTTCAAAGGGCCAGAGATTCTTCACCATGTGTTATTTTTTTCGATGAAATTGATGCACTATGTCCAAAGCGAACGAGCAGTGAAGTATGACCGCTTGTTTCTTTGATTAATTTTTCATTTTCTTTCAAATAGCTTCAAATTTAATTTAATTTTTAAATATTATATTTGGTGTGTCTGGTTTTGTCAGCCTGGTAGTGATAATGTTTTTTTCTCAAGACAAGCGGTAGTTCAAGATTGGTAAATCAATTGCTCACGGAGATGGATGGTGTAGAAAGTAGGAAAGAAGTATTTTTGATAGGAGCAACGAATCGTCCAGGTATATCCCTTGCCATTTGCTGTTATATGTTTCCTCAAAATCTGACTAGACAAGATGTAGTGGCGATAACATCCGTAACTAATAATGTTATGGAAATACATTGGAGGGTTTACCATTGAATTTTCACGCGAGCTGATGTAATTGTTGTTTTAACAGTCGAAATTCAAGATGAACATACTATTACCATCATGGAAGGCAATAATAATCACATCATATCTTGATAAGATTGGCTAAATATTTGATATGAATATTCTAGACATTGTTGATGGCGCTATTTTACGTCCTGGAAGATTGGATAAAATACTTTTTGTTGATTTTCCAAATACAAAAGAGAAAGAAGACATCCTTCGCAAAATAACAAATAATGGAAAACGTCCTCACTTGTCGGACGATTTTTGTTACGAAAATATTGCTGAAGACCCTGCTCTTCAGTGGTTCACGTATGTTTTAAAGCTTGATTATTTTTAAGTCCTGTTTTGTAGTTAGGAATTTTCCATTAGTAGTTTGAGACTCGCTTCCTGATGATATCATTGGATTTGAAGTTGCTGTTATTGTAATTTATGTGCTACCACTTCAAAAACTCTTCATGAATTCCAGAGGAGCAGACATAGCAGCACTTGTGCATGAGGCGGGTATTATAGCTATGCAAGAAAGCATGTCCGGGAATAACAAAAGTGGATGTCATCGAGTGACAATGAAACATTTCCAAAATGCGGCCCTGCGAATAAGGCCGTCTGTTCAGGAAAAAGATCGAATTGTTTACCAGAAGTTGAAAGAAATGTATGGAAAATTGAAACCATTATAACCTGGTGTTTAAATCACATTATAACATTATAGTTGAGTTAAATAAAATCGTCGAAAAAATAAAATGAAATTAACCATCAAATTATTTTTTGAACGGTACTTCTGAGTATGTTAATAGTCATGCTAATGCTCTGGGCTTTGCAAAATTGGTTCTTTTCCATTGTTCTCTTCAACAAATCTGCTAGTGGGATTTGCATTTGTTGTACGACATATTTCATGCCTCTTGTTAACTATATATATATAATGCGCAAAAAGTCGAAAACTTTTGAATGAGTAGGGAAAAAGGAAAAGATTGAGCAGTTTTGAGTTCTAAAAGGTTGTGAAGCATGAGCTGTAATGACCATCTTTAAATGCTGAAGGTATTAGAACTGAAGTTCTGAAAAAGACATTCTTCTGACCAGTCCAGTATCTCGATGACGCTGAACACTGCTCAGGTGCTATCACCAAATCTAAGCTACAAATATACATTATTGTCAAATTTTGAAAGACATGGTTTTTCCTATTTTAAAATTGATTATTTTTGAAAGAGTTGTTTTTATTGTTTAGTATTTTGAAGAAAAAAGTTTATTACAAATAATTATGCAATTGATCAAATTCTTCAATTTGTTAACTGACAATTTGTAAAAATTTTTATTATAGAATTTTGTTTTCATAGAGATTGCGTTAATTTGTTGGCATGACAATTTAACAAATTTTGGAGGCATTGAATAATAGTTATGATGAGTGTTTATAGAATGGATGATGTCACATAGTTCCCAAACCACTGATCTTCTCAGGTCATTGCCGATCATTCGTGACGCTTCCGGAAGATTTTTGTAAAGTGCCGATCAACTAGTATCACTGTCCAATCAGCATGACATCATTGGAAATTCTAACACCAAGATGTCACGAAATATCAAACAGATGACACAAGGTATCGGACAGGTGCTACAAAGAAGAGTTGGTACCAAACGGATGACAACAAAAGCATTTGGTACCAGACAAATGACAGAGATGATCGGTGTGAATTTACGAAAAAAAAATTATGAAAATGATGCGTAGAATTTGCGGGATTATTGCATATAAATATATTATGGATAATAATATTTAAAAAAGTGAAAGAACAAAATGTTTATAATTCAACGGTCTGAGGTGTGGTATACCTCAACTGATAATTTGAGGTGATATACCTCAACTGATAACACATTGTATATATTTAGAGACTGGACTAGAAATAAACCAGAAGTAGGCTTTACCATCCTCACAAGTTTATTCTTACCATTTATAATTAGCGAGTTACTGTAATTCAATGTGATTACAGTAGTTGCACTGTTTGGAATAATCAGAACATTTGGATTGTAAAAAAATATTAAAAACCGTTGCAAATAAACACCATCATCGTGGTCTTTTTCCGTGGAATTATCAGGCTTTAGAAGTAGAATTTCATGAAAAATTACAAAGCAAGGAATGTGAGACGAAATGTGCCGTTCAATTTCATTAAATAAATCTCTCAGCAATTAAAAATTTGTGAGCATCATGAAGATCAAATTGTAAGAATTAATTATAAATATGACAGTAAAAAATGGAGAAAGCAACTATTATGGGCAGTTTACTGTTGTTAAGAATATAAAGATAAGAAAGTGTAAAGAAGTGACACTGTGACTAATGGAAATTGTGCGAGCGGAAGAAGTAGCGAATCTGTATGGACTGGCTTCCATATCGTATGTTGATAGTTCGTAATCTTTTGTTTTCAATTTCCCTAAATTAAAGACGAATCCACCAATAATACAGATAAAGTTGAAAATTGAGGCAAACTTGTTCCAACAATCAATGACAATGTTAAAAAGATATTACTAACTCGTTTTGTGTCTTTTAACTTATACTTCATCGTAGAAATGCAGAGGAAAAGTTTGATTTAATTTAATTTTAGTAACTTCGAAATAAATCATACCGAAATAGCACTTTTCGATACTCATACCGGAAATATAACGACCCATAGAAGTATAGCCTCGGGTAAGCGGTTCCTCACGAATACATAACTTCCCATATTCTGTATCGTGTTTTAGAAAGGAGAATAATACGTCAAGATCGGATGATTCACGAAATTCAAATACTTGCGAGCCTATCTGCGGTACATTGCCGCCTTGCAATGTGGCGATCGTTCTATAATGCAAGAATATAATCAGTTTGTGTGTTTTAACTTATACTTCATTGTAGAAATGCAGAGGATGGCTGAAGAAAGGAAAATCACTCTTTTTGATATTGGCTAATTAAAATTTCATTTAAATTTATGAAGAATCGTGAAAAGTGATGAACATATTCAAGAATGGAACTCTGAAAACAGACATCTGTTTTTGCTTTATATCTTTCGTTAAATATTCCGACAGAATGGTCGGAGTGGTCAATAAACTCATTTGAATCCTCGCAGAGTACAATGCATCGATACAGTTGAAAATTGAAAGATTCGTTTGAATAGCTTTCAATCGTAACGTGATTACACGTCAGAAATATCAATCGTTTGTCAAATGTTTCTTTTACTCTCCATTCATTAATGTTTCAACTTTTAACGATGATTCTTCGGGATTTTGTTAGGTTAATTTTCAATTGCACCCTTTCTCATTCGACATTTCTTTCATTTTCACATTCATTAGAAAAGCATTTGAGAGAGATATTAGTTTATTCATATTGATTAGAAAAAAGAAGTCAAAAGGAAAAATTGGGAATTAACGGATGTTAGTGTGCTTTCCTTTTTTTGATTTCTATGAACCTTAAATTGAGCTATAACAAAATTTATCTGCTTGAAATTCGACTATATGAAGCTTATGAAGTAGAATTTTAAAATCAATTCTTTTTGGAAGGTAGCTAATAATTGAAATACACAAAAAATTTGAAAAATTTATATAAAAAACAGAATAAAAAGAGCTTTAGAAAAAATCAGACAAAAATGGAAAATAAACGAATGACTCCAACGAAAAGCAGAAATACTTTTAATCAAGTATTTAATTTTCAAATTTTAAAATTTGAAAAATTTCATATTTAACTTTTTGACATTTATTTTAAATTATTATCTTCACATATATACGTTGAAATCTCTCTTATTTAGGCATAAAATGTTAATTCAATTCAAAACGCAAATTGAATAAAACAAAATTTGATTAATTAAAAATTTAATGAATTTAGGGACTAAACTTAAATTTGTTCATACGCAATGTTAGAGATGCCGAAGTTCCTAAATTATTACTTGATGAAAGCAGAAAGTGAGAAATATTTGTCACTCGATTACTTTTTTTAAAAAGGATGCGACATTGATGAATTCCCTCATTTTTGCATTATTACATTAAACTGTTGATCGAGAAAAAGGAATGGAAGTGTAGCGTAAGTGAAAGCTTCACCGATCGGCATCCGCAAAGACCGAATCACTATCAACCATAGCGATAACGATCAGTCGAGCACCTTTTAGTGACATCTCCTATGGATTAATCTGACAAATTACTGTAGGGTTACGATAAGCAACGAAGGAAGGCTATTAACCCATATATCTGGTGGTAAGAGGACAAGAGCAAAGAATGACATCTAATAGTCCGTCAGTTCCAATCCGCTGATAGCAATGAGAGATAGTAAAATAAGAGAAATGATTGAAATGGATTGAAAGAATTGAAAATACATTTTAAAAAAGATATCCGGAAAGATTACTTTCAGAGGAGAGACGAGGAAAGGAAACCTCATTGGAAAATTGGTAATGGAGCGAATTTTGAATTGCATTGTGGTTGCCGTAATCTCGACTACTTCAACATCCTCCACTGTTGTGTCCGCACTTTTTCCAAAACGATCCAAAGTTCGCAACAATCGGCAATCCATCCCGGTCGTTTCACTGTATCTGTTGAAATTCTCCCATTCAATACAAATATAATACCATGATTGTTCTCGTAAGTCTGATAAATATACCTAAATAATATCAGTGAATTGATTCAAATGGTAAGCTAAATTTTAATCAAATCGATTTCCTTGAAAATAAATAGAAATCCATAGCACTTGTTTTTTGTATTTAAAACAAATATAGCTTCAACCTTTTCATCTTTGACTTCATTCTATTTACCGTTGTTTATTACAATCGGCAGTGTAGTAAGAATTTGTGTCCGAAGAACGAAAGCGAATACTCAATTCACTTCCGTTTCTATTCGCTTAACTATTTATATATTTTTGAAGAAACACTGATATTATTAAATTAGTCGGAAAATTTGAAGGCGACTAAACGGATGACCTGTTTGTCCTCCCGAATGCTATCAGGATAAAAGACTTTGCTAACAAGCGGTTCGCCTGATTTTAATGGAATTGCCGAAACAAATAATGTTGGGATTTGGGTTGGTGAAAGATGAGTTTCCAGAAATGAATTCAAAAGAACGATCCGAAAGCCGTGCTTTGTCGTATCTACAAAATTTATTGCCCTGAAATAAAACGATAGAAAGAAATTACTTTTTATTTCTTAAAATTTTAAACATCTAAAGCTGAAGTTTTCATTTTTCCTTTAATAAGGAAGCTGCTGAACAGATAAGACATTATCTAGGATGGTCAAAAAATCTCGCTTCTAAAGAAAAATTATTTGTTAGAAGCCTTCTATTTATAGAATGATTTGTTTTTCTTAATTCATTCTTCTCTAAAGAAATTTAAACATATGCATGATTTGAATTTGAAATTCAAAAAAGAGGAAAATTCTAATTATCAAAAATTAGCGATTCGAAAACTGAAAATTGTAAGAGAAAGTTTGAAAATAACAAACCTTGCATTGATAAATATCCGCTGGTACTTTGGATTACTGTAAACAACAGCACACAATACAGAAGAAAAAACGATGATTAATCTAAGCATGAAGAAAATCATCCCTGCCACATTTATTTTTCCAGTTTCAATAGTGTAAATGTTCTCTGATCGAATGGCATTTTCATCAAACAGCAATTTCTTTCCGAAGTGACCAAAGAGTACTTCAAAGTTTGTAAATTAACCTTGCTTAAAAATAAGGAGAAATGAAATATTTTTCAATTACTCCGTTCACCATCTTAATCTGATCACTTACAAGTGCAACAGTGCAACAATCAGTCTGTATGATTAAAAAAATGACGAAAATTATACGAAACTGAGCTGAGGCTAATATGTCACAAACATATATAAACTGAAAAATTCAAAAGGAATTCAAAAAAAAGACGGTTTTAAATGAAACACTTTTTTGTCTTTCGTTTATACGCTGAAGGTTGACGTAAGTTATTTGAAACAGTTTATCTTGCCGATTTACGACCTGCTAGACAAATTTCCAAAATATCTTTTATATGTCCATAGGCCAAAAGGTTCCGTCCAATAGCATGGTTTAAATTTTCTCTGTACGACCACCTTTCCAATTTCGGAACATTGTCTTCTCGACTTTCACAAGGGTCATTTGAGGGGTATTCACTTATTGGCATTCTACAAAAAGCAAAATTTGGCAGAATTGAGTTTATTTCAGTTTGTTTCATTTTCCAAAAACCTTTTCTCAGTGCAAGAAACGATGAAAATGTCTGTGAAAGGAGAAAGAAATTTTAAATAAATTTCTATGGAAAAGCAAGCCGAGTCTTTCACTTTTGACACTTTCTCTTTGCTTGTTTTTCCTGCTCATATTATTATATTAATGAAAACGAATAATAAATTGAAATTTTATACGATAACAAGTTTTGCAATGTTTCTCCAAACCTTAGTTGGAATTTTACGCATAAATTGAAAAAATAAAAATTAAAATTTGAAAGAAACTTTTCTTGCGATTTTATATTTCTCGTTAATTTTCATAATTTCTATTTTTTAAGATAAAACTGCATTCTTTATGAAATTTCACGTTCTTTACTATCAGAGCTTTCCGTAATTTCAGTAATTTTGAATTTTGTAAGGAGGAGAAAAAATTGTTATCATTCTCTACAAACTATAAATGATTTAAAATATAATTATATATGAAATACCTATCTGACCACAAGATATGAAAAATCGAAATCAAAACATTGATCTTGTAATAATGAGAGTGCAATTAAAGCTCTAGTATAATTCCGCAAATTACTCTATCAAAAGATGCTAAAAATTAGCATACACTTAATATACTTGACTTATACTGATTCCGTTCTCTCTTTCTTGCTTTCCTTGCTTCTATCTATTTCGATAAGGCAATCGTTGTATTCACTAATATTAATTCCAAAACCAATTGAGTTTAATTGCAAAAACAAAATTAGATTTTTGGAAAATGACAAAAATGACAAATTGAACTAAAAGTTCAATTATTGAAAAGTTTTACAGTCATTTAATCATTCCATTTGTTATGTTATGGTAGAAAAATGAGTGGAAATTAAAAGTGAAGAATGTTTTGATGGCCTAAGGGGCTAAGGATTTGTTATTCATTATTGGACAGGAAATTTGCGAAGACAAAGAATTTTAAAAAGCACATTAAGAATGATTTCATAAATGAAATTTCCCTGTTAGTAAATTTTGTCCCAATGAGCGTTTTCTAAATTTGAAAAATTTTCAAAGTACAACAACTTTTTCAACTTTCTTCATGAGTTAAATAACAATTCATAAAGCAATTTGCAAGAAACAGCAAAACAAATCAGCATGAATAGTATTATTTCACAGTGTGAAGATTCACATACAATGAATTATGAACGATGAATAATTAAATATTCCATAGCTTCTAATTTAATATCAAATTTAAGTTAAAGAAAAGGAAGAGAGAAGCGAAATAAATAAATTAAGGCAAATCCCTCTACGGACTCAATCTTATAGAAAGATCACATATCGCTCATTTTAAATACAGAAAAATTCAATAATGAGGATTGAATACTAAAGGCCAGACGACTGCTCACTGATGGCCAGAAGTATCATCATATAATATATTTCAGATATCTTTGGCCACAATTACATATTGACCACTCAACATATGTTCTAATTTCATTTAGCAATTCTATTCTTCAAGTATTATGGTTATCAGTAGGAAAGATTCGTATAGCTAATCCAACGGATGACATTTTTAACTGATTTATTTTTATTTGTAATTGATTTAGGCAGTTTTATATTTCAACTTATACTGTCAGTTTTGAAAATATGCGAGGAATTTGATTATGTAATTCACTACATAGGAAATTTTGATAAATTACTTTAAAATTTTTGCATGAAATTAAAACCCTTAGTGGGAAAGAAATCAATCTATCGGATTGACGATTTTATGGCAAATAAAATAAGTGAAGCATTTATAATGTAGAAGTGGTTTTGAAATGAAAGTTGCGGACAAACATAGAAATGTTAATACATTCCCTCTCTCTCTGTCTTTACTTTTCGATATATAAAAAGCTCAAGGAAAAGGAGTGTAAAAATGGCATAAAAAAACGGAAATAAGCTTTAAGAAAGTGGTGATTTAACAGTTTAAAAAGTTAAATTATATTATGGATTTGCAAAATAAAATCATTATTTGCTTTTTTCCTCTTTGCCTTCCGTCTTACTTCCCCTTTCTCTTTTTCATCTTTTTTACCTTTCATGTATCAAAACTGAATCATATCAGAAAATGCTTTTTGCATATAGCAATGGAAATTTTCCTCTCTTTATCACCCCTCCTCCCTCCTCTTTCTTCTCCCCAAAAACTCTTCTTATCACTTCTCCACGACAATGTTATGTGATAACGTCCCCAAAAGATGCATGAATTAGACAGAAAAAGATGGGAAAGGTGTAGAAAGTCTGTTCAACAATGCCGGATAAGATGAGAAAGTTTTTATTAGAATGGTGGCCCGGAAAAAAAGTTACTTAAACAAAAAGAAAAATGCAACAACAGGAGATGATTTGTTAGTTTGCTTTCATAAATCTATCGTTTTGATGAGAAAAACTGAATAAATTCTTCATTTCCTTTCTGTTCTAACCTTTACTCTTTTTAGATTTCAAATTCATTCGGTAAATCAAAACGAAAGTTTATTAGATTTAATGACAAGCGTAGAATAAAAGATTCTTTTCTGCCTAAATTCCATCCACTTGGCTAAATGAAATGACAAATCTGTTCCGAACCACAAAGTAAACATATCAGATGAAAAACTTAGAAGAAAAAAATTTTATAGATGATATAAATTTCAATTATATGAGAAGAAATTTACTCATACACTTAACAGTTTCATAGTTTACATGGTGCTCATCGTTCAAGTGACAATTTTAGAAAAGTGGTGTTACGAAAGAGCTACAAATCAAAAAAGAAATAATAGTGGTGGCCGTGCAAGAATATGGGGTATATTTTGGGATTAATGCAGAAAAAAACAAAATGCTGAGAAATTAAATATTAATAAAATTAGTGAATTAAAAAGGATTGAATTAAATGTCAGTAAAATTACTTTCTCAAGCAGCATATTGCAATCGATGGTGAAAAAACAACAGTTAATCACAAGTGTATTTCAATATCATTTTCATTCATTAATTGAAAGTTGCATTTCTGTGATAAGCAATAAATTATATCAGTGTAAGTTAGGTGATAAATTGGTACGACGATACGGTGAATTATTTTACTGCTTAAATATTTTACTTTTTTATTCAGCCAACACCGATAATTTTTGTAGACGTTGAATGATTAAAATTCAAGACTAAAGTAAATATTATTAGAACCGAATAATTAATATTACAATTATCATAAGGAATGTATGCAAAATAAATTTTCGAGAAATGAGGACGGTTCAGCTTATGCTGATTCAATATTGCGTATGAAATTTAAAAATGAAAGATCGAAGAGAGACCAACTGCCTGAAAATTTACTGTCTATCAAAAGTGATTGACATCTATTACTAGCTTAACTGACTCATGCAATAAATTTCTAAAGATTTTTTTTGAACAAAAAGTGCTTCAAAAAAGTGCGAATTAAAAAATGAAAGTTTTTTACATATAAAAGTTAAATGTTATAAAAATTGGAAATATCTTTAAAATGAAAATAATTTACAACCTCCATGACAAATAATTGTAAATTGAATGATGGTCAGCGATAGGAGCGTTTGTTGGCACGAATTGAAGGTCAATTGTAAAATTTTATCAAATTCTTTATGCAAACCTATTTTTAGCTGACAAATATCTTTCAGAATTTTTCGCCTATTTCCTATTTGGAAATCAATCCAATTTAAATACAAATCAGTAAAGAAATCATTTCTCTTCATTTTATATTAATATTATTACTAAGCAATCCTATGATAATTGTGTCATTTCTTTCAAATGAAACAATTATCTGATAAGATTTGTTCCAAATGGATGTGAATTACATGAATATAGTGTAGTCATTGGTTAGAAAAATAATGCTTAATTTGATTTTCCACCGGAACGAATTAAAAAGGAAGGAATCAAAGATGTATTGGAAATGATGTGACAATGTGACAGTCACCCTCTGAATACTTACTTCTAGAATCATTCAATATTTCACACGAACTCTTGCCCATATCATTCTTTATAGAAACAAACTTTTTCTTGAATCTCTCGTTAATTACCGAATCTTAGTCCAATCAAGTAATATTTTGGATATATTAAACCAGCAATAAAACAAATAAAATTTCATTAATTTAAGTTTTAAATATTCTAAACTTTGTTGAACAGTAGACGAAAGGACCAAAGAGAAGCATATCGCCTCAATTCATCTCCTTAATGAATTTATTAATGAACTATCATGTGCATACTGTAATGCATAATGCATATAAACAGATAAAGCCCAACGTTCTTAATTAAATCTGAAAAAGCTAATGGACAGGTGGTGTTCAGTCTGAGATGATGGTTGATTTTCTACAAAAACGAGCGCGGAATTCAATTGTGACAAATGGAAATGAGTGATATTCAAGAAACGGGAATGGAAGAAGGCAAGAATTTGAGCCTGAAGGGAAATCGGAATAGTAGAAGAAGAGAACGAGATGGAAATAGGAGAGGCAACTGACTGACGTACAGTCAGTCAGTTTGCAAAGGTGCAAAAAAGCTTGCAAATCTTTCAGTTGCATTAGAGAAGCGATAAATATTGGAGCTAATAATGTCGCTGCATAGCATGACCCAGTCGGCAACGCATTTTAATTATGCGCTTATGTTGTCGCTAACTAATTAATCAAGACGTACAACATAAAACATCCTGCAAATTTGATACAAATCTAAAAGCCAGCAATTATTTGCTACTTTCTTTTTGTTTCAAAATTTTATTGAAATTTTTAATTGTGCTTCGCCAATGTGAATCCGAAATTACTCATTCTCAGTGTAAACAGAGTAACTAAAGAGTGTTATAATCCTTTATATTTTCGACATTATATTATTTTTAGCACTTTTTATACCTTTAAAAATATCAATATTTGAAAAATATCAACATTTAAAAATATTTTCACGTAACAGATTAAAATTTTACTCATTCAATTCTTTTGTTAAGTTTGAAAATTTAAAAGTTTACAAATTCAGTGAACAAATA